TCAAATTTTTATTTCTAAATTTAAACACATAACTTATTAGAGTCGGTATCCAATTTACCCCTTAAAAACAGATGTGAGGTGGCAAAATGAGAAAGAGAGTGTCAAAAGCGAGTGTCGAAAAGCGACTGACGCTAGCATTCCTCTTAGTCTTATGAGCAATGCTAGGGGTACTCGCTTTTCGCACTCTCCGCCCGACACTTCCCCTTTCATTGGGCCACGTAAGCTTCTTTAAAGCATTCAGTGCAACTTCTCGGGAACCAAGATAACGTGGCCCAATAAAAGAGAAAGTGTTAACCGGAGAGTGCGAAAAGCGAGTGCCCCTAGCATTGCTCTAGTCTTATTGGGATGACAAAGATGTATTATTATTATTTACCAAAAAAAGATGCATTATTATTCGGTTGAGAAAGATGTCGGAATACCCTGTCCCTACAATAAATCCTCGTCAGTGGAAGGAAGACCATGGCCCCCCACCGACACTCCCGAAGGTCCCCACCCTATGCTTTCTTTGGAAAGGACTTTCCTATCCTACCCGATACGCCCTCAAGATGATATTTCCTTTTCTCTCATGATCATTCTATCCAAAACATCTTCAATCTTCCCTCTATGGAGTTGGGATTCAGAGTCGGCTTTCTCTTTCTTGTTCTTGTCTTTCCATTATGTATCAACAGCAGCGATGCCCATCAAGACTACAGTCAGTTCCTCCTCGCCAATGGTGTTGCTCGAACTCCTCCAATGGGGTAATACCAAAAACCCATTTTTCTTAGTCTTGACCAAGACTTTTTTTTTTTTTTTGGGTCAAAGATTCTGATTTTCTGAATTATTTTCCTGCAGTTGGAATAGCTGGAATCACTTTCAATGCCATATAGATGAGGGGATTGTAAAGGCTTCTGGTATGCCTCTGCATTATTTATTTTGTTATTTTCTCGAACATTTGGTGGACTCAAATATAAGTTGTGTTTTGTTGCATATTTGATTTTTCTTTCTCAAAAACTGTCTTCTATGCTTTCTTATACTATATGACTTTGAATAGTCTATAGTAGATACCCTTAATTGTTTTTTCTAGTCTTGTTGCATTGTACACTTGATCTAACGCTGCTTCTATCATATCAACAAACTTGTGCTTAATGGACCTTATCAGCTTTTGAATAGTCTAGAATTCCCTTTCAATCTTTGATCCTTCTTTTTATTTTATTTGAAGTATTTTTATCAGTTGGGAAGACACTATTATATTGCAGCACAGATGTTTGATTGAAGACCTTGAAGTGGCATTATTTTAATATCTCTGACATTTAATATTCTCATCCCATAATTTGGTGTTTTGTCTCTTCTTTGATCTCTTATCTATCAACTATAAGTTGGCATATTGGACCTTATAAGGTTTTGAATAATTTAACTCTTGACTTTTGCATCTCTTTTGTTGTTTGATATACTATTGTGTTTGGTTCCCGATAACAGCCGATGCGCTTGTTTCAACTGGCTTGGCAGCCCTTGGATACAACTATGTAAATATTGGTAATGGACCTAATGATTTCTTTAATATGGTCATTACCAGCAGTTGTTGCTTGAGTAGCATAGATTTTTAACTGGTTGTGTAAAAACAGATGACTGTTGGGCGGAAGATCAAAGAGACTGGGAGGGTAATCTAAGGGCAAATTCTACTTCCTTTCCTTCTGGCATTAAGGCTCTTGCAGATTATGTTCATGCAAGAGGTCTAAAACTTGGGATATACTCTGATGCTGGGTAAATTTTTGTCAAATTGTTCTGAATTTTATGAACTAATGTATAACTTCTGATGCACAATTTTCTCAAATGCATAAGTACTTAATCTGTTTGATCTTTCTCAATAGCTATAGAACCTGCAGTAAAAGAATGCCTGGTTCCCTTGGGCATGAAGATCAAGATGCAAGAACCTTTGCTGAATGGGTTTGTAACCTTCTATTTGCTAAATCACTTGTGGAGATGTTTTGGGATTAAAGATGGCAGAAAATTTTAATTTTGCTGATAAGAGTATACTTTTTAGGGGGTTGATTACTTAAAGTATGACAATTGCTACCATGATGGTTCCAAACCTCAAAACAGGTATCTGTTACCTGAAATTTTTGCATATCTAGGAGTCATTCTGGAGAATCTTTGTTCTTTACTCTGTTAAGAACCTCTAGCATCTGACATGAAATTTTGTTTCTTATTTTGAAATTTTCTCATTTTGAAGATATGCTAAGATGAGTGAGGCATTGCTTAATGTCAACCGACCAATCTTGTACTCTATATGTGAATGGTAAGTTCATGTGAATTTTATCAAATTAACCAGTTTTATACTCCTCCTTCATGGTTTTTTGGTGTGTGTTTTTTAATTGACATTGCCTCATTGGATCATCCAGTCAAACAAGTTTTACAGACTATACATGTGGGTTTTGGACTGCCCAAATTAACAACATATTTCCAGAAGCTCTTTTTAGATTTTTCTAATAGGCATTAACACTGTTTTTCCATAGGGGAGAAGAGAATCCAGCAACATGGGCTGGCTTGTATGGGAATGCCTGGAGAACCACAGGAGACATTAATGGTACATGGGCAAGGTTATAGTCTTTCCATTTATGGTCTTTGAAGCAGATGCTAGTTGTGAATTGAATGCTCTCCATTGAATCAGATGTTTTTGTTTGATCTTCTTTTATTTCTTTATTGTTTCAGTCTAATATCAATTGCAGATGCAAACGATATATGGGGAAGGTATGCAGGACCTGGCAGGTGGAATGGTAAGTGCAACTTTTAACTTCAGTCACGCAAATAGATGTAAAATTTAAGGTGTGGTTTTGTTCGGTACCTTTTTCAATGTAACTTCACTAATCTCAACTATAATCATAGATCCTGACATGCTGGAAGTTGGAAATGGAGGGATGAACCTTGAGGAAAACCGGTCTCATTTTAGTATTTGGGCTCTAATGAAAGTCCGTATCAAAAATTTTTAGCTTCCCCTGCTTTCTACCTTCCATGCTATCCCTTTTTATCATCTAGAACACCTTTTCTTGACAGGCTCCCTTGCTTATTGGATGTGATATTCGATCTGCAAGCAGAGAGACTCTGAAGATCCTTGGAAACAAAGAAGTAATAGATGTTAACCAGGATTCACTGGGAGTTCAAGGGAGGAAGATAAGATCAAAGGCCGCCCTAGAGGTACTTTTTTCCTGCCCGTTTCACCTTAATGAGAAAAACGAATTCAGAACTACCTTACATAATATAGCAATTAAATTGTTTTCATTAACATGACGCAGGTCTGGGCAGGACCTTTATCTGGGGGAAGGGTGGTAGTAGTGTTGTGGAACAGAAGCCAGTCTAAAGCACCTATATCTGTAGGATGGAGAGAAATTGGACTCTCCCCTTCTAACCCTGTCATTGTTAGAGATCTCTGGATGGTATGATTCACTTCTTTGCAAAACACACATAATCTTGCAACCATGAGTTTAATTCTCTTCTAACCTAATATCCTGAATCTGCATTACGTTTTTTGTTTGTAGAACTCAACTGTTTCACAGAATAAGCGCTACCGGCTCACAGCAAATGTTGCTCCTCATGCCTGCAAGATGTATGTCCTGACCCCAATAAGAGGTTGAAACTATAGCAGGTTTGAATTCAACAATATCCATGCACTATTTTTGAAGAACAACTATGCAATAACTGAAACTTGGCATGTCACGATCCCTCCTTTTCTCTTTTATTCTATCTAAAGGGATGAAATTGAAAATGCTCTGTCTGTATGTGACGCTGAAGAGAACATGAAATGTTCACGGGCATCCCGGCCCACCTGTTCCAACCTAAAAAGACAACTGAGGTGGTGCCATTATGTAGATGTTGGGAGCCTTTTTATCATTGTTTATGACTTTGTGCACCCCTTAAATCTGGATTGAATTGTTAGCATAGGACCTAATCTCTTTATCCAAGCAGCTCAACCTGAATCCAGGGACTAGCCACACCAAATCTTCATAATCAAAGGTTTTCAATTACGTCGCTATTCTATTTAAAGTCCGTCCTAATTGAAATTTTTGCAGAACTGTTCGAAAAATGTTTTTCATGTAAAAGTAAAACCTCATGTTCCTTTTTCTATTTGTTGGGAGGAAAACCTTTTCTCAAACCGAGAAATTTTCACAATGAATTGATACAACAATCTGCGGCCACCAGTTTTGATTGAATTGTCAGCCCAGTGACCTAAAGTTTGGTGCTACTTATCTTTGATGACACAATTAGAACCAACATATGAATACCAACTTTTTTTTTTTAAAAAAAAAAAAATTCAACTTTGTAAAATGTGGTGTGGACAGTGATTTCGAAAATGAAATTGATGGCAGTGGTCTGTTAATTTCTTTGGTATGCCAAGACAAGAATATTACAATCCTATGCACATTTTCGGGTCAACCTTATCATTCCAAATTAGCAAAGCCGACGAAAGCATGCTTGCTGGCTATGGCTAAGTAACGTAAGGATATTCTTAGTATGAGGCTACTCGTGCTTTTAAATTCTCCACACATCTGTGGCATTCACATTAACATTATGGCGTTTGCAACTTTTCAACCACAAGATAAGAAGGAAAGAATCAAAATCCTTACGAGATGGCTCTTGGAGGGTTTGACAAGCAAGCCCTATATGTGTACTGCTGTAACATCGTGAACATTAACGTCCTTAATATCATGCGGTAAACCATACAAAGAGAACCACTTATTCTTTTCAAGCTGGTTTCAACATTGGACCAATTCAAATTGTTAGGTTATCTCGCACGAGGCAGTATTATTGGTAGTATTTAACATGAGAGTGTATTTTTAAAATTATTTTTAAAAGTAATCAATCTTTCAGATACACATAAAATAGTATTAGATTTTTTAATTTAAATTATTAAATGAAAAATAAATTTCTTGATATTACCAACTGATCTTTTATTTAATAATTTTTATTTTTCATTTTGATACATTTTAAACTATAAAATAAAATTGCCAAAGTTTTAAACTGATTTTTCTCTAGACACCAAGAACTAAAGGGAGAGGATTACATGACCCACATATCCTTGCAAGGACATATTTTGGTGCAATATTCCAAATCTGTGATCGCGTTATCATCTCTGGAAAACAACATCCAACTGATTGACTAGCTACACATAACTGCCGCATGCCCCTTTCAAGTTAAGGTCATGAAACCCCTTCTGCTTTTTTTTTAATTGTGATGAACCCCCTTCTGCTTTGTCCCAAAAGCTCCTTTCAATTTGAGTAAAAACCAATATTCAAGAGAATATTGCCAACTACAAAATTATCATTTTTAATAGTCTACCACTGTACTTGAGATTTTCATGAAGAGGGTTTTTCTCATCATTAATATTAATAAAATAAAAAAAATGTCAATAAGATTTATGACAATCAATTAAATGTTTAAATATTGAGGCTCTCACTCTTATAAATAATGAGTTTTTCTTAAAAAAAATATATTTTTTAAAAATTACCTAGCATACGCAATCACCATAATTTGTACTTATATAAATAGATTATAGTAATTAATTATATTCTGTATTAAAAAGATATGAATAAGACTGCTAACAAATCGACTAAAAGTTTAAAAATTGATGAGGCTCTCAATCTTATAAATAATAGATTTTCTCTATTTTTTTTAAGGTTGCGTACCATACTAAATCGTTGTAATTTGTACCAATACATATTATAGGACTTAATTTATACTCTACAATAAAATGATATAAATAAGAAAATTAGTTTTATGGGAGGAGAGTGCGTGTGTGGTAGCATAAGAAAGGCATGACATCAAAAAGCGTACCGGCAGTTCCAAACCTCCGACCCCCCCCCCCTCCTCATAAACCTGCCTTTCCTCGTTTTCTTACCTTTTGCTGGCACGTGGTCCCCACCAAACGATTCTCCCACGTGTCACCCTTACCTCAATCCATAACCGCCACGTGTCACTCCATCACCCCAACTGCCCCTTTGGCACTTCCATCCTCTCTCTTCCACTCTGTATATAATTACAACCCCACCCCCCCACTCCCAAATTGTCACTCTGTAAAAATGGAGAGCACCGATTCCTCCTCGGCAGCGGTGGCGGCGGCGGCGGCGGCGGCCACCTCGCAGCACCCACAACTCCCACCGGGGTTTCGCTTCCACCCCACTGACGAAGAGCTTGTCATCCACTACCTCAAGCGAAAGGTGGCTTCCGCTCCCCTCCCTGTCACCATAATCACCGAAGTCGACCTTTACAAATTCGATCCATGGGAGCTCCCCAGTATATACATCTAATCCAATTCTCCAATTTTTTTTACAATATTATTATTATTATTTTTTTTTTTGGTTTGAATGATTTTTAATTTTGTTTTTAAGGTAAGGCGACGTTTGGGGAGCAAGAGTGGTACTTCTTCAGTCCGAGGGACAGGAAGTATCCGAACGGAGCGAGGCCGAACAGAGCCGCGACTTCAGGATATTGGAAAGCCACCGGAACAGATAAGCCGATATTAACTGCAAACGGAAATCAAAAGGTTGGTGTTAAGAAGGCTCTTGTTTTCTATGGTGGAAAGCCTCCTAAAGGAATCAAAACTAGCTGGATTATGCATGAATATCGTCTAACCGACAGTTCTTCTCCGTCAAAGCCGCCGCCGGTTGCTGAAGGAAACAAGAAAGGTTCCTTAAGGGTAGGTGAAATTCGATTTTTAATTCAAAGATTGAAATTATGAACAAAAACTTAGTCGAGTTGGTAGTTAAGTTAACTAAGATTAAGATTTAAATCTTGTGGGTTTAATTTAATTGTGTAGCTTGATGATTGGGTTTTATGCCGGATTTACAAGAAAAGCAATCCACAGAGATCGGTGGAAAGGGAGATGGAAGGGATGCTCGCAACCGGACTAGTTCCGGTGACTTTTACCAATCAGAATCTAAAACCTCCGGTACCGAAATCTTCACCTTATGGTTCTTCATTACTGGAAAACGATGAGAACTTCTTCGAAGGGATTCTTACAGACAGTTCCATTTCTCAAAAGCCCAATATATCCCCGATCTCCACCGCCGCCATCCTTTCCGTGAAACGCGCGCTGCCGCCGCCACAGTGCTGGAATGAACCTGGCTCAATCGGGTCACTGCTGCCGGAAAAGCGTTTCCACGGTGATCTCAATAGTAGCAGCACCGCTACTGCTGATGATAGCAACTCCTTCATTACTCTACTCAATCAGATTCCCCATACCGCAACGTTTCACCCCAATACCCTGCTCGGATCCCTCGGCGACGGCGGGATTTTACGGCAGCAGTTTCATCTTCCTGGCATGAACTGGAACACGTAGTTTGAGGTTTTTGAGGTGACGGAAAATATTTGTGTAGCTATATATTAAAGTCTTAACCATCTTCATGTGAGTATATGTTTAAGCAGAGATAAACAAACAAGTTATCAACACTAAATAGTTTTTGACTTCTTTTTTTTTTTTTGGTGAAATAGTTTTTGACATTGAGAATGGTATTTTTAAGTTCAAATTTTATTGAAAAAAAAGTACAATACAAACTATAAAAATATTTAAAAAATTTTAAAAGATTTAATCAAAAGAATATTTAAATAATTAATTTCATAACCCGTACTGCATGCTGTCTGAACTTAAAAAACAGCCATTTTTGTTTGACATTACATGATACACAAACAAAGTTGCTTTGATTCATAAAAGAACCAATTAATTAAAGAGGCCCTGAACTTTTATTTTTTTGGTATTTATTTATGTATAAAAATCTCCACTTGTTCTTGATGCTTGAACCTGAAATTGGAAACTCGAAACAGCCTTACAAAGTTTAAGCAAATTTCTTTGTCACCGAACCCCAAAAGAGAGAAGCAATTAATTAATTCTTTATCTAGTGTGTAATTTGTAATTTGAAAAGGCAAAAAGGCTTAGGTGCACATGAATATAGACATTACCTTCAGAAAGATTCTAGTTGTGTCTTTGTTTCTTTGAAAGATCATCGTAAATTGGTAATGATTCTAATGACACATTAACCTTTGTCTTTTTAACTTAATAACCAAATTTTCAAACATATATAACTCCACCTAAAACCACAAGCATGTTCAAAGAATATAGAGCAAAAATCAAATTGAATGGTCTAGTTATTTAATTAGTATGCATGAAACACACCGTGCATTTTATTTTTGCAATAGTTAAATTCATAATATTGTATTTTATAATTTAGATTGTATTAAATTAAAAAATAAAAACAATAAATAAAAAGACAACTTTCAATATCAAAGAGTCAGCTACTATTCATTAATTTAAATTGTGCAATCTAAATTAAACAATATTTTTGTTTAAATTCATATCAAATATATATATTATATATCAACTACTAAAAAATATTCAAAACTTCCAATACAAATTAATTATAAATTTGTTTAAAAATCATATGAAACCAACATCCATAAAGCTGAAGCAGATTGCAGGTACATGACTTGAACCTCAAATAATAAAATTTTAGAATTAATCCTATTTTACCACTGTACGTTGGCACATGAAATATACTCAGGGATTCACATCAGAATTATTTTAATTTTTTAATAGCAACATCGAGATTTATATATATAAGAAAAAGATTATTTAACTTTTTCTTTTTACTTAAATTCTTTTACATCGAGTCATTTAAAAATGCTCTCCTTGGGCCATAACCATAGATTAAATATAATTATTTAGCAAATGTATGATTTTACTTTTGGCCATCAGCAAATGTTTGATGAGGGGAAGAATTAATCAAATATATAGTACAGATAAAATCCTAAATGATTATTCCACCAAATGACTTGATCAGCTTATTCTCCATTTCACAATCATGATATGCTGATTGATTAAATTACAAAATAAATCTCTTGATGTTTCACTGTCGAATGTTGTCTCCTACCCTAATGTTTCATTAGGACATTGGCTCATTAGAAAGCACTAAACCTACTTATCTCCTCTTCCTGTTTAGTTTCAAACATGGGAACGTGTCCACTGATTATTGCTTCTAGGCATTGATTTATGCTTTATTTCCGACATAATTGTCAACAATATTAGTGCACAATATGATTATCGGTCAAGGTTGGATTAAGTGATAAGGCGTGATATGAATATTATCCTAAAAATACTACTTCGAATCTCTTCATTTTTGTTTGGGAATTAATAATTCCAATAAGTTATGTCTATCATCATTAAGTGGAATTTGCCTAATATTCATGAACGAAGTAGTTAACAATCATTAAATTTATTGGGTTAAAAATTCGAATAATCATGTTATATATATATATATATATAATTAATCCACTGATAAGAACCAATAGAAGGTGTCATTTTCGGCCAAGAACCGATTTTACCCAAGGAAGCATAATCTGTTCGTGGAGATGCGGGTGATGACAGCAGGAGAAATCAAACCCAGAAAAGGTTTGCCTATGTGTTGACTATGGGGGTCATTCTTCACATCAAATGGAATCATTATGTCTCCATACTGAATTAAGCAAGCCCACTAATTTTCTTCCCTTTTCTAGGAAAACAAACAAGGTCACTTTCTTTGAATATGTAGCACTAGGGGTTGAATTTTGGAATGGGAATCGTGATGCAGAAGTCACTGGGAAATCTTCCATCTGTCTTACCAAATCTTATGAGTGGTTTTTCAAGGAAACTCATTATCTTACGTTATGGGCCGGTCCAGTTTATTTGAGGCTTCTGATCCAAATCCATGCAATTTTTGGGTTAATTTGCAAAAAGTATTAAAATATTATGGATGAGAAAGTACAGTGTCGGTCTAAATTAAATGAGTCTGCACATTCAGTGCCATCTGTCTAATATTGCAACTTTTTCCAGCTCGAAATGTTTGTGTATTCCATCTGGTTTTTTATGGAGACATATATAGGAGACCGTCCAATCTACAACAACATTTTAACAAAGGCAGGCACAACTGCCCACGAAGTTCATTTTATTGATCTTTAAGGAGATTTTAGGAAAACAAGAATAAATAAACTCAATTACATATGAACTAATAATAAGTTGTTTAACAATTAATAATTTAAGTGGTTCAATAATAATTTTATTTAGTAAAAAAGATTTTAAATTTAAATTATATAACATATAAGTGAATAAATTAAAAAATGAATGAGAATTATATATTATAATACAATTTAAATAAAAAAAATACCAAACCAATTGATAATTAAAACTAAAGATTTTTTTAGTAATTTACTAAATTTTTTATTTTATATTAATGTTGTTCAAATTTCAAAAACAGAAAATAACAACAATATTAAACAAGAGCTAAGTTATCTGCAAGTAACAGAAAACCCAATCCAAATACTCATCCCTAATTTCTCAAAAAAATAAAATACACACCCCTAATTATTAAAGGGTCTAAGATATCGACTCGAACTTTGAACTTTATAGGACCCTACAAACCGCTTCTACCTTCCTTCTTTTTTCTTTTTTTTTCCTTTTTTTATTATCAAACTTCAAACCGCTATTGAGTGTTAACCATTGGAATTATGATAAATTGAGAAGCCCAGACCAAAAGAAAGCAGGCCAAGCCCAACATTTTGACCACTGTGGACTGGTTGCACTCTCTTTTGCATATATCAGGCTTCACGCCCTCTTTTAAAATACCCATTTCGACTCCAAGCCTGCAAAGATGCTCAATTTGACATTGTTTTATTTTCCTTTTTTTTTTTCCCCTTAAGAAATCATTGTACATGATTCTCCTTATAATGACCTTAAAAATCTTGTTTATTGTAGGAAAATCAAGGAGGAGGGGAAAGTATTTTTATACAATTAATTATGACATTATGCATTCATTTCTCTCAAACTAGACACACTTAAAGATATGATATGGATGTTACTTGAGATATGAGAAATACCATCCTTGTCCTTTCAATTCATCATATCCACCAAGAAAGATAAAATTTCCTCATCCAAGCTAGTGAGATTAAAATTTCCCTAGTTGTCCTAGCTCTATATATCTTCAACTTTGTTATTATCAATATAAGACCCAACTGCTCAACCCACGTTTATCACTTGTTCATCCCAATTACCACCCCGTCACAATTTGTAGTTAAATTTTGCCAAAAGAAAATTTACTTTAATTACATAATAAATTAATTAAATTTTTTTCTTAAAATTATCTTAATTAGCCTTATTTTTTACGTTTTAAGGACTCATTCATGAAAAAAGGAAAAGGCTTGGAGAAAATTGGAAGGAAGGAAGTGCTAAAATTGGACTCAATTGAAGAAATTTGTGAAAATTGGACCAAATGTGTATAAAAATAAAATATTACATTTTATAAATTGAATTTTATTATCATATTAAAGACTTTAGTCAAACTAATAGTTGTACTTAAAGGCACATTATTTTATATAATTATCTAATTTATTCATATAATTAACCTATAAGAGAGTTACAAAATTAAAAGTTCTCTATATAACACATGTTACTTTTTTCAAAAATTAGTATTCCTTCACATTCTTCTACTTTCTTAACATACTCTATTTTTAAATATTCTTGGCCAAAGAAAGTTGCCTTAAGTTAAATAGGTAGTTTAGATTCATATTGTAACATTTAGGCATTTTGGCATTTAGGTTTAGGTTTAGATTTAGGTTTTGGGATTTTTTTTGAACATAGACAACTTGTTGCAACTAGAGAGAGGGGGAACGGGAAATGGGGAAGGGGCTGAACACAGCCCATTAGGTGAATTCTCCATGAGGTCAATGGTTAATCCTCCGCGCATGGATTTCAATTTTAGGTTTAAGTAGCTTTAGGTTAGTGGTATAAGGGGAAGATCAAAGGGCTATGGTGAGTGGTATAAGGCTTCTTTATGTTGGGTATAAATATGAGAAAACAAAATCAAATTTTATGGGGTTTCAGGTCTATATTTTTTAGGTTTCTTGCTCTAGGTTTCGAGAGAAAAAGAGAGGAAGAAAACCAAGGTGATTCCGATGAGAGTCTAGTGATTTTCAGCCTCCTATTGCTAGGTAAACCCTGTAATAGAGAGATCTAGGGGAGTTAGATTGGAGAATGATCTAGGCACTATCCCGTGGCTGTGGGTACCTCAGATCAAACTCTAATTGTGCCTCCTCCAAATTTCGCCTCCTATGTGTCCATTTGGTTCATTTTAGTTGTAGATATGTGAATTTGATGTGAGTTCATTGAAAAATTTTCCTTTTCCATGTATTGGGGATTTGAAAGCTTGAATATACATGTTAAATTGTAGGTTATTTCTCTGTTTTCGGATGCATTTAGGCTTGTATTGAATGTTGGGGGTCTTATTCGATTTTTCTACATTTTTCCTTGATTTTTCTGGATTTTTTTAGCCTCGCCGGTATTTGGAAATTCTGGCCATAATTTCAGACGGCACCGGAATCTGGAAATGGGCCATGGCCGGTCCGCAGACCCAATATCCCAATTGCTCTATTGGATCCCTTTTTTTT